CAGAGGATTTCACAAAATCCTATTTGTTTTCACAGAGGATTTCACAAAATCCTATTTGCTGGTGAAACGTTAGGAAACAAAACTTCAAGAACACGGCCACACAGCCCGGAAGACCCACACCAGCCATCCTCCAACTACCTTTGCATCCAGTGTTAGCATTATAACTCCAGCATTAAAGGCCATATTGGTCGGGAATTTTGGGAGCTGTAATCCCAACCTATGTGCCATCAAGTCATTTTTGCCTCTTAGTGATCACATAGATAGATTTTCTCCATGATGATCAATCCCTAACCTGGTCTTTCAGATCTTCCAATGGTGGATCCATCACTGCTGTAATCGAGTCCATTCGCTTTGCAGCTAGTTGTCCTCTTCTTCCCTTCCCTTTCACCCTTCCCAGCATTAGAGCCTTCTTCAGAGAGCTTGGTCTTCACATAATCTTTCCAAAGTATGATCATTTGAGCCTAGTCATTTGTGCCTCAAGTGAGAACTCTGGCTTGATTTGATCAATGATCCATTTGTTTGTTTTCTCGGCTGTCCATGGTATTCTCAGGAATCTTCAACACTTAAGTTAGAAGCCTGCAGGGTCACTGGGATACTTTTTTTAGGTAGGAAGGACCTATACGAAAGAAAAGAGGTTAATGTCATTCACAATTAGTTGAAATTTATGATAAGCCAAATGAGTTAGCAACAACAAAAATAACTTTGGGGTGCTGCTAAACAAATGAAGACTGTTTAGAGTAATGAAGACAGCTTGGAATAATCCTGCAGAAAAGTCCAGGAGAAGACTTTGGTGTGAAAGGATTTTGACTCAGTTCTGGTACTGGGGGAAAAAATCCTAAATTCAGAACAGGATCAAATGCACCTTCTTTAATTCTAAGTAGTTCTCAGAGTTGAGAACCTTTTGGTGGATCTCTGGTGAATCTAAAAATTCAAGGCAAAGCAAACAAATTAGCTGCACTAACCAAGTCTGTTGCTCCTATTTAGTGCACAGATTACAGCAATCTAAGGCGAGAATGGATTCAGAAATGCCACTGACATCCATAGGCCTTATTCCCTGGTGGTTCTGTCCTCACTGTTTTCACAGCCATTTCAAATATGTTGTTGTAAATTGGTGGGCTGAAAAGGACAGCACTAGTCAGAAGAGAAGAGATGGAAGCCAGGAAAAAAGGCAAAGCAAGCAGGGATGTGGTCAAAGAAGACAGAGCTTTGATTGCACTGCATGGCTGCCATCTTGTCCTTTTTTACCATACCCTATGAACACCCCTGGATGGGTGCATGCAGCAAAGCATCTGGGCGATGGAGTTGTGTGGCTTGACTGATCTACTGCTGGCATGTGATCTCTGAAAAGTTACTGAGATAAAAAATAAATGTCTATAATCTTGATTTAACAAGAGAATAATGTAATGCATGTATCACACTTACATCTCAGTTCTGCTCACCTTTTTATTTATCCATCAGCTATGTATTTTAGGATATGCTTCGTTACTCTGAATGTTGAAAGTGAGACTATAGGAGACTGAAGTTGAAAGCACAGCAAATATGTGTAATGTGTGTATGGATGGGATGAGGACAATAAGTGCATTTTATTGACTAATGTCCAGTCTGGATCATTAAAATTGCTTTTGTTGCAGCTAGAATATAGTCCTGTCTGCTCCTTGTTTATATGTTTGCCCCTTGCCCTGCTTTTGCCAATTCCCATCACTTTCACAATGCAGGCATTGTTGAGCCTATTCATCCACTCTGACATTTACTGAAATATTGATTTCTTACTAAAGCTCCAATGTGGTGCACATTTTATGCACTGTCCACATTTTGATTTGTTTATCTACAGGTCCACAGTAAAGTGATGAAACAGATCAAGTGCCTGAAATTGTTTAGTGGGAATGGAGAAAATACTGCCTTTTTAAAAGCTTGGATTAACAGTAACTGACACTGTTTGCTGGAAGACAAAGATTTCTGTCCTTTTCTTGAAAATGCTGTCAGGCTCTCTTAATATCCATTTGGGGTCTGGGGCAGGTCCCTGAAAAATGTTATGATGCACCAAACATAAGCCATGAAAGAGTCAGCTTCTGAAATTAGACCCTCTGTCGCAATGATCTGATTTGTGTTGTTTTAACCTCCAGGTCAGAGCTTTTTAACCTGTGGACTGGGGTTCACTGATGATTCCCAACCGTGCTACAAATAATCCCCTGGTATGGACAAAAATAAAATAATAAAATAAAATATTCCAATGGCCAAAATGTCATGAGATCACCAAATCTTGTAAGAGTTTGGCATTCCCATCCAAAATCTCATAAGACTTCAGGCAGAAACATTGCATATTGGCAATTTCACAGCATTGCAGTAATTTTTCTTTTAAAACAAGTTCTATTAATTTTTATTTAATTTTTGACACTACTGGGGGAGTCAATGTGGGCTGTGGTGCCCACAAGCACACTATTATCAATCTCTAGTTTATGTGGTAGTCCTCAAAAGCTATTGATGATAATACAGTGACGTGTATCAAGGAAACATTTGAGAATCACT